AATGTGCTATAATAATTATTAATAATTAAATTATTGATAATTATTCCAATTACTAATCACTTAATAATTATTTCAATTATTAATAATTGCTAAAAGTGAAATTTTTTATATTACAATATCGCACACTAAGAGAAATTTAATTTTCAGTCTTCTAAATCTTTGTGGTTTTCTGAAAATCCTAATTGAACGTATAATACACGCGGAACACGAAACACGACTCGGTAAACCAATCTTGAAATCAATAACGTACGTTAAGGATTTCCATTACAATATTTATAGTTTCACATGCAATAGGATGCAAGCCTGACATAATTAATTTGGCACATTAATGGCACAAAATGACACATCAAAATATTATGTTAATAACATGCTAATCTACGCAATAACTACGCAATTCAGTAGTTACATCAATAGCGACAGTTACATAAAACTCTTACATTTATATTCCTTACATTTCTTTTTTATAATACATTTTTATCGCATATTAGAGCAAAACTAATATATTATTATACTCACATATCGGTCTGTTTCCGTGTATATATCCCCACAAAAACGTACGTCGAATCCACGAAGAGTTCACGTGAAATCCACGAAATCACGTGGATTCCACGTGGATTCCACGTGGATGTAACGTGCATGCTTTTACTGTTAGAATCCTAGATATACATAAAAAACTGTAGGTTTCCAATTAGAAGCAATGAGTATTTAACGTAGTTATTCGTTAACAAGTTATATAGAATATATATATGTGTGTAAGTAAGTTGTAATATTTTTGTATCCTGTTTATTGTATAGAATTACTCATTGAAATACTTTCTTTGATACGCAGGTTAATAAAAAAAATCTAACAATATATATTTCTTGCAATAGCTGCCTTTCACGATACATCACGATATCGCACATAGCGATTTTCGTTGTTGCTTCTTTATTTATATCTAAGACTTTATATATTAACTGTTTGGAAAGACTCCAAAAGACAGTTGAAAGATACTCAAAATTTCTCTCTCCCTTCTCCTTATCTTTTATAAATATCACACAAAATATCCTACATACATATTAAATTAAAAAAATTTAAATAATAGTAAAATTTTCTATAAATATAAGTTAGATTACGTAGAAGTTAGATTACGTATAAGTTAGATTACGTAGAATACATAATTTGGCATAATTTGGCATAACCCTACTCGCAATTTATGGTAGTACCTTAATTATTTAAATTACTAAGTTATTTAATTACTAAGAAATACTAAATTTAGTATTTTTTTAATCGTACTCACTTATTTCTGAACATTAAGGAGACTGGAAGGTCAAATTGTCTGAAAATCGTGCTTGTTTTTTCACAATTTTTTATGACAAACTGAATAAATATGTAAAAGTGTTATTTTGACGTTTGACGTGTGTACGACGTTTGACGTTATACAACATATAAACAGAAGAAAAATATAATTTTGATGATCAAAATTATATTTTGATACTCAGTTTAAGTATATGGTACATGCAGTTAAAATATATTTTGTTTTTTTTCAAGGTCATCATTTTGCAATAATATCTTGACTCTCGGTGATTCAATTAAGCTAAATTTTAAGTGGAAAATTTCCGTAAGCTTGTCTTTATCGTATGAACCACTGACAAACTCATGAAAATATTTAATTTTAAATAATTAATTTTTTTACTATAAAAGAACTGAAAATTTAATAATATTCCATTAAGATATTTGCAATTTTGTTAACTTTTACTCAATTTCTATTGTAACACGATAACGACAAGCTTACAGAAATTTTCTACTTAAAATTCAGCTTAATTGAACCAGCAAGAGTCAAGATATTACTGCAAAATAATGACCTTGAAAAAAAAACGAAATATATTTTAACTGCATGTACTTAAACTGAGTATTTGATCATCAAAATTATATTTTTCTTCTGTTTATATGTTGTATAACGTCAAACGTCGTACACACTTAACAAAATAACACTTTCGCATATTCATTTAGTTTGTCATAAAAAATTGTGAAAAAACAAGCACGATTTTCAGGCAATCCCCCCTTAACGCGAAGCTATCACGACGATAGATTATTGTTTTGACACATCATCCCCCGTTTCTTTGAATAATTAATAAATATTAGATTGGTCGTATCTGTCAAAAGGTTTGTCATGTTTGTAATAATGACATATATTAAGATTAGGAAGTCCTAATAACCTAGTTATATGACATGTTAGTGCTATTGTATCGTATCTTATTTCGATAAAAATACCAAGATATGTTATAGTATCTGCCAAGCGCATCGCTGTACAGTTATCTACCGACCGGTTCATTATATGACGTTACGACGAGCGGTTCATTATATGACGTTTCAACGTGGTTTACAGCACAAAAAATGTGCACTTGATTATATAAATAATAATTAAATTAAACATGTATATGCATGTAATAATTTATATGCAACCACTCTTAGTTATTCAAGGAAATAGCAACAACATCTTACATATTACGAATCGAAAATCGCGATCTTATCAAAATGACGAGAAAATAATCGACAAAATCAAGTAAATATCAATAGATATCACATACACTTATCACTTATAATTATCTATTCTTTACGTCACCGCCTGATTTTGTTATCTCACTTGTATCAATTATTATTTACGCCAATTGTGTGATGAATTAAAAATATTATCAAAATTTATATTCATTTTTTATATTCTATCTTTAACATTTATATTTAAATAATTTAATAAGTTATAAATATTTAAATATTTAACAAATAACATATTTATATATAAGTTAGAATAATGTAATGAATTTTTTATCTGATATTAAATTTATTCTATGGTAAGAGAAATTTACCGTAAATCGTGGACGTGTCGAAGAGCTTCTTCTTCTTCTTGTCGAAAAGTCTACCCCATGCAATGGTAAGCAAGATTCTCAAGAAATAATTCACATCGAAGAAGATGTAGAGGATGGCGATCGCCGCCACACAGCAGGAGCACACCATCGTCGTCAGTTATTGCGGTTCTTCTTCCGTCTCTTTCTCTCTTTCCTTGTCTGTTTTAATGCCCGTGGAACAGCAGCGCGACGACTCGACACCCGACGCACGTTTTACTACAGTCGGCAGAAGACTGAACGTCTACGAACTGTGTCTACGGCCTTTGGTATCGCGGGAACCGGTTCCGCGGGTGCTTCGTAGAGCCACTAAAGCCTGATCTACAATATGCTCTTTGCTTCTTGCTTCTTTCTCTTTATCTCTTTCTGACTCAAACCTTAAGCTTTAAGCCAGAAAAAGACAGAAGACAAGAAACAAAATGCAAAGAGCATATTGTAAATCAGGCTTAAGACGCTCCGAGTATCTGCTGCGTTACAGATTAACCGTTATCGTGCAAATCTCGAAACCGAAAGTTCGCAGATGTAAAATACACCGTGCAAATCTATCGACATACTCTCTTAAAATAAATCAGTCAAACATCACTGAAAACAATGAATATACACTGATTGCAGTTATAATCCAAACAGCACAAATGTCCAAAATCGAGTCCCTTACGAGTATAGCACTGAGCACTTTCAGACTTTCTTCCCAGACAGCACAATGTCCAAAATCGGGTCATAAGACGGTCTTTAAAACATCTTTAAGACATCTTTAAGACAAATTTATAACGTATTGTCTTAAAG